TAAATGAATCTGCTGGGACCTAATGTTCTTGATTAGCTTGCGAAAATGAGTGCTCCACGATGAGTTTTTCTGTTTGCCTAAAGTAAACAGAGAATGAATTGTAATACATTTAAGAGACATTCACGCATGGCATTCGAAGAGGGAGTTCTAGATGAATTGGTAGATCTCTCCCTCGCATTCGCCTTTCTTCTCGTCTGCAGTTAAGTAAAATGTATCGTTTGGCTAAATGGAAATATTTGCAGAGAGTCAGAACACAGGGTTATATCTTGAAACAACACTTTTTTTCTCATTTATAACTATAGAAGAGGCGGGCGGCGGTGGAGGAGCAAACTGCATTTCCTCTGCGTTAACACCCTTGTCTGCCTCCTCCGTAGGGACGCAGGGCCAAAAGCTAATATTGGTGTCCCAGGTGCAGCATCCAGCGAAGTTGAGCTGATGAGCCGGTGTAACCCAGTGCCAAAGCCAGCCCCTAGATTCAGGCAGTTGACCAGAGAAGCCCAGACTGGAGGGCAGCAGCCCAGCGGTGGTGGCCGGTACCCACTCCCGGCACTGGCCAGAGCGCAGAGCATCTTGGCCTCACCTGCACTAGTGGGCTCTAGGGTCACCGACCCCCCAGGCGTCCCCGTGTGCTCAGCCAACCCCCAGTGAGGTAATGACAATGCTTTGCAGAGCCACAGGTGCCACTTGGGAAAGGCCAGTGCGTACCCAGTATAATTCTCCCCAGCAAAAAGTGATACGACCCATAAGACCCGATCTTGCTTCCTTTTCACCCCCTTGCAAAGTTGCTGTTGGTATCAGGGGCAGCGGGGTCCTAAGGGGAGGAAACCGGACAAACACAAAAAGCGATTCCCTGGTGCAGTCGCAATTCTTGTGCCAAATCAGTGAAACTGTTTCCTCAAGGCCATGCTTAATTACTGTGCCGCTGGTCAGCTTGGGCCCAATGGACCACCACAGCACACAAGGGTGCCCCCGACGTCAGCAGGGCTTCTTGGAGTTGGAGGAGTTCAAGACTAGAGTTGGGAGGCAACACAATATAAAATGTCATGTATTATTTCAATTGAAAACCTGCTTTATTTTTAGTGCAAGCAATCAATGAACCGGTTAACCCCCTCTGTGCTATTGAAATCAAGCATTCTTTTAATGCCCAGTTAATTATTTCTCTATTAATATGCGTTTAAGTTTTTGCTTTATTATATCACTTCTGTACCTGGCAAAAGCTCAAGTCATCCAAGTTAGTCTTTCATGTGATTTTTTGGACAAGTTTCAGTTCTTGTTTAAGGAAGTAATAAAAGCAATTTGTCATAGTTTTATTTTTCCTATGCTATTGGAAAGAAAATTGGCAGGGATGTGATCTGTACTTAATTTGTATGTGAAAAAAGAAGTAGACAAATAATGAATATGTACCTGTGCTATCTTTAAAGGTGTATTTTAGGAACTTTCAGTGAAACTGTGATGCTGGGCTTAGGCTTCGGTGGGGAGGGAACTGGTGGTGTTATTTGTCGAAGATGCTACGTGTTTCACAGAGTGGCAGTGGTTTTCCTTCGACATTTTTACTATTTGGGGAACAATGCTACATGCAAACATGCTCGAGAGTAAAGGGAATTTCACGGGAACTGGCCATTAAGGCAGCATCTTTCTCCTAAAGTCTAGTCAGTATTCCTATGTTTGTGCTAGGAATTGT